TCTAGTCGTGTCCATTTTTGGAAGGCCAAACAAAGTAGTTTCGCTTTCACAACGAAACACAGCTTCACACACGGCGGCCTAGAGTGAGCGGAGGCGGGCTTGAGAACGGTGCGTCCGGCGGATTTGACAAAGGAGCGATCGGTGGGCTTGCGGCAACCACATGTGTCGACACCGGGCTGGACTCCGCTTCGTCCACTGTGAAAGCCGATCTGGCGATCCACAGCGCGAAGTTGATGCATTTCCTCAGCGACCAGCACGGATCAGCTCTAGGCATGACGAAGCGGATATCGTCCTCTTTTGGAAGGCCAAACAAAGTAGTTTCACTTTCACAACGAAACACAGCGTCTTCACGACATGGCGGCAGCAACAATACTACAGCGAGAATAAAAGTTATGCCTTCTTTCTTTGCGTGAATATTTGGGCGGCGTTATGCAAATCTTCCCACATAGTGACGTAGACATGTGGGGGCGTGTTAGAATGAGCCGTTTTAGGTAGGCATGGTTGACTCATAACTTTTATAAAGAATATCTCTTTGGATTTGAGACTTTAGTCTTTGCAACTTTACAGATCTTCTTTATGCACCAAGAGCTTGTAACACTCCAAAGAGAAAGGAAAAATTGAAATCGCATCATATGACCCCTTTAATTTTTTTATTATTTTGAATTAGGTTTTATTTTTATATTTTCTGCTTTCATTTCAATTTTAGCAATTTTTTTTTCTTTAATAAGTCGGTATAGTTTTTTATTAGTTTTATTTCAGTTTTAGTTTTAATTATTTTAGTACATCAAGTTAAACTAATTGAAAATAAGAAATGTTGCTTTGGCTTAAATAAAACTAGCTGAAATAAATTAAGTTTACATTTTTATATTTCATTTTAGTTAACCCTTAAAGACCTAGAACATTTTTGGGGCACCTGACACGTCTGCACTTTTCTTTGTTTTTTTAAGACCTATTCTAGCAGTCAGCATCAAGTGTCATATATCATTATAAACAGGAGAACTTGAAGTTTCAGTCTAGCTAATTTAAAGTCCCAGTTTTTTTTTTTTTTTTCTCTCTAAGAATTAATGAATTTCCAGAATTTTAAGAAAAACGCAAGCAACAATTGGGTGTGTTTTACGGTGTACTCAAACAGAAACTCCTGAAGTTTGGATTTTTTTCTTTAGAAAGTTGTATCTGGGTGTTTTACACTTCCAAATAAAATGTTGTCTACATATAACATTCCCCAAGCAAGTTATAGCCATTTATTACAATATTGTTATAGACGCTTTCAGTGAAAAACAGATCTATTTAGTTTACTAACAATATAGATGTGTCTAAAAAACATTTAGGGAGTAAAGAAAATGGAATCAGTGTTATATAATAACAAAACACAGCAAAAAACAAAAAAAAAGTGACTTTTTCAGAGAAATATATTTTCAATCTGAGTATGAACAACAACAAACACAAACCATGTAGCTATTTAGTGAAAACAATTGCACAATTTTTCTTGCAACAAAAATACAAACAGTGCAAATGATTCACAAG